AGCCCAGGAAATCTCACCCAAACAGCTGCTCCTCTGAGATCTCCAAATCCAGGGCCAGATCCCAGAAAGCACTGAGCATCTCCTGCCAGATGCTCATAGTCCCCATTAAACATTTTCATTAGGGGAGACGATGTCAAGGGAGCCACCAGTTCCTCTGGTCCAAGGCGGTTATCATTTAGATTGGAATTCCCCAGTGTTTGGGTGCTTATTTGAAATTCACTGTCTCCTATCAAAACTCTGGAGAGCTTGGACTTTTTTCTACATGCTTTATTTTGGGACTACTCAGTTAATGAAGTTTTAATGAAGTCTGTTCAGCAATAACGCTAAAGCTGTTTAACAAAAAAATAGTGCTCTGTCAATCCAACCAGGCATTACATGGCACCTTTTGTAGGTGGGAACCATGATAGCAAGATGAATTGCTTGCCCCAGACACTACAAGAGAGGTAACACATAAAGGATCACACAAGAATGCAGGAAAGAAGGTAAACCTGGGACCTGGATGAGCCCTGGATAAAATTGACTTGCAGTCCAATTCCAAACTGGCATTCGCATAGCCCCATTTCAAGTCTGCAGCTGGAAGCTTACCTTGCAAAGCATTTCATTTCCTCCTGACACTCTTTTCTGTCTTGATGATAAAATCCTTCCCACATTTGGAAACCGTAAGTTTCTTACTAATTTTTTGTAGCAAATTAGTCAACATACAGCTCTTGTGAGCCATAAAGATGAACACCCAGAATTCACAAATCAATACTCTAGCAAATTTTTTTGGGTGACATGAATATGTTTTGCTTTTTCAGACGTACACCAGCACAATAAGGCAGCTTGGGTGCATATACAGACGATACACACAATGAGCAAGAATTCACACTGCCCTATTTTGAAGCTGGATATGGTCTCTAAACACTTGTTTACGCTGATGAAAGGCATTTCCAGCAGTAACACTGAGATGCTCTGAACTTTGAGATGCTAATGGTTAAAATCTGACATGAAGCCAATAAATATTAAAAAGAAATAGAAAACCTATTACTAAGAAGTTATAAAGGCTATTTAGTATTGCTGATTGCCCAGAACATGGGAAAATGGGAAAGGATAAGAATGTTCTGCACCCTACACTTAAAACCAAAGCCCAAAGAGGCAAGAAAATATTAGGGAAATAAAAATTGATACCCTGTGAATGATCACAGATGGCTTTTGCATGTCCCTATTCACCAGCTGTTTCTATTACTCTTTTGTGCAAAGGCATTGGAGGAAAACAGATTATGATTTAATGGAAAGAGTATTGGGCTGAAATAAAGGCAGAAATCTGAGATATTTTCTTCCACGGAGAGAGATCTTTCATCCCACCAAAAGGCAGTCCTGCCCAGGCATTACCTAAGTAGAGATTCTGAGTATAAGGCGCGTGGCTGGAGCCATACGTGGACGAGAAGCAAGGCCAGCTGCTCTCATAGACAGCGATACTCACTCTTGATCCAAAAGCAACTGTCCTTTCATGGCCTCGCTGAGCTTAATGGATTTTGTGATACCAGTAACAAGAACACATGGACAGCTATTCTGGTTCAGATCAAAGACCAAAACCATCCAGTGCTCTGCCTCCATCAGCAGCCACACATAGATATGCAAGAGTGTAACAGCAGGCCAAGCACACAGAACACTTCCTCCTAACACTACCTCACTCTCTCACAACTTTCAGGTCAGAGATTTCCTCAGCCTGCTGCAGTTTCTCAGTTTAGCAATCCTCATGAAGATTTCTATTCCAGGGAGTTGTCCAGCCTCCCTGTGAGTAAGGAGTAGTCAGGGGAAGATGAGCATCTGCAAGCTCCTTGCATTCAGAACGTGCTTCAGCAGCGAGTTCCACAGGTCTTACATTACATGAAGACACACCTTCCAATATTTTTTGGTACATGGCTTCCACTAGTTTCATATGATGGCCTCTAGTTCTTTCATTGGGAATTAAAAATGAATCAATCCCTAGCTACTTGTTCTATGCCAGTAAAGAGCCTGTAGACCTTGTCTCAGCAGTTATACCACAGAGTATTTAATGTCCTGAAACATTAAGATAGAAGGCTGATATGTTACACTAAATTTGGCCAACTGGACAGTGGATTTTGGAAGTATTACATTAGCTTTTGGGATAGATTTCATTTATTTACACACTTATTCAGGTAAGGGAGGGAAGCTATTTTCCTGCTTCAGAGTATGTCAGAAGAAATAAGCAGTCAGTCTAAGGAAGAAAAAAAATGGAAGTGAATGGAAGGATATCCAGGGGAAGGGAGATTACAAGGTGCTCAAGTGTGACACAGAAACACATCTGCCTAAATCAGGTACATATCAGGCTCACATACACACACACACGCACAGATGCATGGGCAACACAACATCTACAACACTGTTGTAAGCTGGAGGAAATGAGAAAGAGGAAAGTGCGTTCTGAAACCCAGGCAAGCCGGCTTAGTGGGCTGGCATGCTGCATAACAGGTCAAAGAGGGGCAGGAGAGAGAATGACTATCAGTGCCATATGCTTATTAGGTCTTGTTGGTCTGCTTTATACTGTGCTCATTGAATCTTCCCCTTCAGCAGGTCTCACTTTACATGCATGCACCTTTCACAGATGGTTTTCATCATACCACCATAATGGCATTGGAAAGGCAGGGGAAACAACGACACAGAGGATATGTCTGCACACAATGAGCTAGGAAAATCTCCAGTGTTGCCCAGTATTACTGGTCAGAGCCAGCAATATCCTCAGAGCCATGGAGGAGGACAGTGAAAGTGAACCATTCTCATTCTGTTGCAGCAGTGGACTGCCTACAGAGTATCCTCAAACCATGAACCTGAATAGGAGTTCAACCACTACAATTCCTATGAGGTGTTCAGGGCTGGGAATATGGGAAAAGAAGAGAAAAGGAGAAGAATTTGCCTTGTTTCTAGTAAGAAAGGCTGAGTAATTCCATGGCAATTTCTAAGGAAGCTCTTGCACGCATCTTCCCAACCACAGCCACCCAGCTAAGCAAGGTGCTGAATGTGAACTCTTGCTGTCCCTTTGTCCCTTAATTTCCCCTTACTCTCTCACTGGCTGGGGATGTGAACCACAGGGCCTCCCTACTTTGATGCACAGGTTGTCTCGTCTTGGTAACAATCATTTTTTCCTCCCTTCCTTTTCTCTTTTCCTTGTAGTCTGCTCCAACCTAAATTTTTCAGGTTGCATTAGTTCCCTCTTTTTCAAGAGATTTGCATATTCCTGATTAGGTCAGGTGATATGATACAGGATAGTTTGGCACCCTGTCTCTGGTGAGCTGTCTTGCCTGGGTAACTCCCTGGCCAAGGGAATTCTAATTTTTAAGTTTCAAGGGACAATTCATTTTGTTTTTGCTCCACATGGATTTATCCATTCCACTCTGGTGTTAAAGATCAGGCTGGGTTTTCCCTGCTAGAATGACATGCTCTCATGTAGCTTTAGGCAGTAGAAAGAGATTCTGTGTCTATAATATGATTTCTCTGTTTCAGAACCAGACCAAAACTGTAAGTCAGACACACTTCTCACAGCACAGTTTGCCCTAAACATCTTCCTGAGGCTTAGTCAGATGAATGGGTTTTATTCCTGCTATAATACGACTTTCTTAGGGAGACATCCCGCTTCACATGCAAGTGTGCAACAGGGTCCAAGTCCTTCTACAGAGCCTCAGTAGCTAGCAGACACTAGGGTGAAGAAGTTAAGAGAGATCACCACGTTATTTACTTTTTTAACAGTTTTTTTCCTCACCAGCAGGCAAGGGTACTATTCTTTCCCTCAGAAACAAGGAACACTTGAACATTGTTCATGCAGCAGGGGTAATATCAACTAGACTCAAAGGATGCTTTTCTATCTGATTCCCCTCACTCCCACTTGGCCCCAGCATTTTCCAAGAAGAAGGGCTGGCAGAAATTTCTAAATTTCTGGTTGCTTCCTTGAGTTTGATTTAATTTCAAAAGTCCAGACAGCAAAATCCTGAATCAACCCTAGTTCTAGTATCCTCACCTTTCCTGTTTCCTAACAGAATAACCCATGTGCTGGGCACCCTTGAAATCCAGCAACCTCTTTGTCTTCTTCCTGCAGCCTCTGCTCTATGCCTTGCCTCCTATTTCTTCCCTGTATCTGTACATTCTTTCTACTTCTCCCCATTTTTCCTTCCTTGAAGCACTCCCAATAGCTAAGCTTTCTTAAGTTTTCAGTTTTCACTTTCTTCCTTTGTTCTGTCCTTTTAAAGGATAGAAGAGTTAAGGCTGATATTTTTTTTATGTGTGTGTCACCACTAGTGTTCAGCGTGAACATCTGCTTCATAACGGTGGGATAAGGCCAGTTTCTGTATTATCAATTCAGGCTGCCTGCAGATTCAGACTGATGTCACTGCATGGGGTCATGTGCCTTAAGGCCTTCTTTACTACGATTAGGAATTTAAATTTATTTTAAAAACAGATAAAATGTAGTTTCTGCAGAACCTTAGTATATGATTTGTGCTACCACAGTATTGGGCCAAGAATTTGACCACACTACTGGAAACAGCCACCTTCTGACCATCTGAAAATGCTGCTGTTAGTGGCTAAGTTAAAAGTAGCTCTGAACTTTGTTCTGGGACCCTCTGAAGGTGGATGTTTCTAAAGCATGCCTGAAGGGTTTGAAAATCAGGTATCTTCTAGAGCATGTCCCTATTCTGGGAGATTTTGGAGCTGGAGAAAATGTGGAAGATCTATTGATGATGCAGCTTTTGATGGAGAAGTGGGCAAATGGCTCTTTGGGCGGGAGGAGGGTAGAAGCTGTTGGACTGGGGAATGCGCTGGGAGCACTGGAGTGGGAATGAGAGAGGGAGGAGTAGGGTGGGTGCGGGGAGTTACTGCTCTGTCTGAATGGAGCTCGTTTCTTGCTGTAATCAGAGGGATGGCCTCCCTCAGCCTTCTGGTACTGAGAGGCACTTCACCTTCCTGTCCCTGCTGAAGCAAGGTGCTCAACAGTAGAAACTACTTACCTGATAACTGCTGCACTGAAGGCTGGTCATGTGTGCTTAACAACTGTGCCTGAATGGTTTCTACTACCCTCTTAAAACGACGGCTTGGACCTGTGAGGAGAGAAAAGGCACAAATGGCTGTGAGAGGAGCAGGAGCCGAATCCTCATACAACCCAGGCTGGAGGGGAAGGATCACAAGCATCTTCCCTTCAGTCTTGTCCCCAAGAGCGTACTGACCGTGTATCTGCCCTTCAGCCAAAGGTATGGCTTTGAGGAACTATTATGCAGTCCCCTTGTTAATAGGGACTGTGGTGTACTGGACTTAGGAGGAAGGATGGCTTCTGGGTTCCTTTTGTAAAGACAGAAAAAGTGGGGGGTTTTATTTGTTTGTCTGTTTGTTTTAACCTCGGGGTGGGGGGTGTGTGTGCATGTGGCCACCCAGAAGAAAAGCGTGATTGCACGTTTCTGTCAGAAGGAAGAAACCAGTGGCCTCACAGTGCCCAGCTGTGACACTGAGACTTTTAAGTGAAACAAGGAGACAGTACAGGGAGCTACTTCAAATCTGATGCATAGAGCATCCATTTTAGCACTAATCGTGGTCACAACTTAACATCTTTGGGAATCTCTTTTCCTCCAAGCATTTCCATCACTACCAACACCATTTTTCTTCCTGATGTCCTCCTTGCCCTCGCTGAATTTTCCCCTGGCACAGCTCTCTTTGCAGGCCTCTATATCAGCAAGGACAAAGCCAGCTTGCACCCATTTTACAGCTTTTCCATGGTTACCTGATAAGAGTGTGAAAGTGACAGAATAGATCCCGTTCTCCTTCTGTGCCTCTCCCCCTTCTGTGTATGTTATGTCCACCTGGAACTTCACTGGCTTCTGGAAGACAGCAGGACCTCCTGTGGACTTATATTCTGCACGGAAACTTGTCTGTGAGATGACACTGTGACTGAGGCTTGGAATCTGAAACAGGTCAGTAGAAGGACATAGTAGAACCAGAGCACAAAAGGAACAAAATTGCAAAATTCCATTTAGAACAATGCACATTTCCAGAGTGGATATTTGCTGGATTTGCTTCTGGACTTGAATTTGTAATGTACAGTGTGTTCTTGTGAAATCAGTAAGAGTGTAGGTTGCTTGGCACTGCAGAAGAATGCACTGCTCCTTACGGGATTGACCTAAATTTAAAGGTTGAATATTGGTGGAATACCCAGCATGCTTATAAATTTACACATGTTGCACAACTTCATACACTCAGTCTTTCTTTTCCTACTCATCTACCAGTTTTGAGAAGTGCCTTCTGCTGAGTGAAAACAGATATTAAGGGAGGGGCAGAAAAGTCAGTGGGATACAAGACTGGATATAATAAAACACGTGAGTAGCCTGGTATGATCTCACAGCTCATCCTGTTTTGAGCAGACCTCCTGAAGTCCTTTCCACCCTCAATTGTTTGGTGATTCTATGATATCAAATAGACATCAGGACATGGAGCAGACACTTAGACAAGTGCCTGGGATATCCACGGGGAAAGCATGCCTGCAAATAACTTACCCAAACAACAACTCATAAATATGTAAAAGAACTTTGAGAAGCTTTCTGGTATCATCCAATATCTGTACATTCAGACCTATGGTAGAATTTCATAAGTGTCTAATTTTTAAGCAGCTACCATTCACAGTTCCTGCCAAAATTTAACATACTCACATTCTATTTATTGCTTCATAAAGGACCAGATTTAAAAAAACCCCGAACAATTCAAATCACTCGGAAATCTGGCCTCTAATTTAGGAGGAAAAATGAAGATGAGTTCTTTGAGAAGCTGACCTTAAGGACTTACTTAGCAGGCTGTGAAAATGCATTTAAGTTTAAAGTTGGCTGTAAGAGACACAAATCACTACACAAATCACTACATTACACCTCAACCCACATGTGTGGGGTATGCACAGGATCACCAATATAGACAGTAGTGCACACTACACCACAATATAAACCCACAAGCACAGCTCAATGATGAAACTGATATAGTAACATGGCTGCTTCAAACCAATCTGAGACGGATACCAGTGTCTGATGCATGCTACTATACTGCACTTGCTCCTTGAATGCCTGTACAGTTAAAAGGATTATGGCTGGTTTTTTGGAAGAAATTCATTGCAGCATCATAAAGACTAAAAAAGAGTGCAGTATTTTGTTGAAAACAGTATCAATTCCACAAATGATATAAGAAATTAAGTCTCCTTCTCTTAATTCTATTGAAAAAAAGTCTAATTATGTTGTCAACTACCTTGAATTGAAAAATCTCTCAAATTAACTTTACTGTGCTGACTTTTTCTTCATTGGTACTTCTAGATAGTGAGAATAAGGGCTTTCTATAGGAAAAAAATGACAATTTCCCTCTGCTTTCCTAAACTGCAACAACTGATACTTCAGTCACCAGAGGAAGTTATCCTCCTTTCTGCCATACAGCATTGAAGAGGAGAATTGAAGTAACAAATGCAGATGTGAAACAGTATTTTTGTCTGCCTAAAGTGGTGGAGGGCATACCCAGCAGAGGGAGACCCAATCTGATGCCCAGACAGCGACTGTAAGGTTAGTTTGACAAAGCAGCAAATTGCTGTCTTGATACTGCACCAGCAGTCTGCTCTGAGTGCAGTGATATTCCAAGCATGGCAACCTGGAGACCCTGCCAAGAAGGCTGAAATATTTTCTCACCTTAGAGAGTATTATCTACAGTTAGAAATTCAGACAGAGTACAATGGAGGCCTGAAATCAACAGGCCATGTAAATTAAATCCACAGAGGATGCATTTGAATGAGCAGAAACCCTGCTCAGTAACATATGGCACAAGGAGTCCTGGACCTAACCAGTGAGCAATGCCTCCAAGAGGCAGCTGGGGTGACTTACCGAGAGGAAAGCGTGGACAATATCAGCCTTAATGGAGCTTAGTGGTTTGTCCTTAATGACCACAAAAATCTGTTCTTCTTTCTCCAGGTTGATGAAGTTACCAAACCAGGATTTTTTGGCAAGTCTGATGTGATGAAAAGAAAGAGATGGTTCAGAATATTGAGCACTATTTTTTACACACCCCCAGCTAGAAAACACACAAGGAAGTTTTGATGACACTCCAGATGTGATACTATTACTAATAGTAAGTGGAAAACAGTGTCAGAGAACATCCACAACAACATTTCACTTAGTGAAAACTGTTAAAATGATGGACCACACAGTGTTAGTCTGGCAGCATGTGTGACCAACAATGAAAAGTCAGGAGCAATGGTAACTCTTTTGACTGAGCCAATATACCAATTAATACTGCATATATAAAGCACTTATAAGCCAGGGGACACAATTCCGGTTTGTCTCCAGGGATCTCTCCATTTCTTGTGACAATATGCAGATGCTGGTAACACAGAGTTAAATCTCTGTGTTCCTTCCCGCCCAAATTCAACCCATTTGGTGTTCTAGGACACGGCAAGTTCCTTTTCTGAAGGTGTCCTGTTGGGCTGACAGTACAATCGCAGGATCTTGCTTTTAAAAGCGAGCTGTAGGACCTCCAATCTGTCAGTGAGTGAAATCCACTCCTACACAGAGGGCCAGGACAAAGACTGTCCCATTCATTAGTCCCATTCAGGGACTATATGAGTGAACTCTGGCCATCCTGCAAAGGAATGAATTTTCAGTACTAAGAAGATATCAACACCATGCAAAACACAGTTCAGGCTTTTCACTGACAGCAGTCCAACTTCATAGTTCCTTTCAGCATCAGATGGTGGTTTCATCATAAAATGAAATTGCTCTGTTTTTTCACACTGATCATATCAGCAAATGTTTGAATTTGCTTATTGTTTCACCATCTCAATGCACTTCATTGACATTCCCTTTTAAGTTAAACAGGCTGAAGGAAAAATGCAAGGACATGAATGTTATTGGAGGACACTACCTAGAACCTGAAGGTAGCACTCTGACAGGTGTGGTTTTGAGGGGAGAGAAGATGCTGCCAGCCACGAGATACAGCCAAAAAATTGCTGGACCAACCTAAACCCAGGGAAAATTTCACTGAAATCAGCCATAGTTTAGTAGGGAAGAATTTAGCATGAAAATGTCAGAAATGAAAAGACCTGCCACCAAGAGACTGCAGGTTTTTTCCTGCACAGGATACTTTATAATGCCATGACAAGTCTAGTTTGCAGTATGGTAAGCAATAGGCTTTCACTTGTTTTGGTGGACATTCACCACTCAGTGAAAGAAGACAACCTCTCCAAACACGGAGAACCATCTACAAAAAGGATTACTATACATCAGCTTTCCAGCAAAGCAATAAACAGCTGGAAAGAGTTATTAGTAGATCCACTTTCTGTGGCAAAGACTCAGACTGAGGCAGAATGAGGAAGGGTAGATGCTAGGAGAGAGAGGAGCAAACTAGGAAACTAATTTGAAGTCCAGACCGTCGGGATGAAGAACAAAGCTTGCCCTCAGCAGCGTCCAGCAATTTGCACGTATTTCCCATTCCAGAGTGCTCCATGAATCACGTAATTGTCGTCTCACTGCCCGTTTAATGCATACAGCAGAAAGACCACAACTGGAAGAAAGCTCAGCTGTGCAAATAATCATTTGCTTCTAGTTACTGCAGGCAACCAAAAATAAGAGTACAGAAAGATTCACTTGCAATTTGGTAAACCAGTGCCCCCCACTCAATTACAGTGGGCTGGAAAACCATCACTCCCTAAAATATTCATAGGCAGCTGTAACTAAGCCACTGAGCCAGAGATTAGCATAGGGAGCAGTAAAGAGAAAGGGCCTCTCATTTAAATGGGTCGTTAAGGAGCCAGGGTTAGAGTGTGAAAGGAAATTACATACTAATTAGCTCATGTGTCTCACACACACCATAACAACTCTGCAAGCCCCTGGAGAGTTGGGGCAATAGCTCCTTGCATGTAAAGGGTCTATGCTCATTAGTAAATTAGCACCTGGTTATCCATCTAAAATGGCTGGTTGTCTTAGGCTTGTATGTATCATAATCTGAACTAGGGTTGGCTATATGGACTCCAGGGTCCCAGTGTACGTCACACATGGAAGTTGGGCCTGGAAAAAAGTGTACAGATTTAATTGCAGGTCTTCCATGTTAAAATATGGGTTTTCATTTTTGTATTTTCATTGATGGTTTTGTTTGCCCTTCATTTATAGGTCTCTTAACAAGCACAAGTTAAAAGTGCCCCAGAACATAGGGAGGTTTTCTCCTGTTCAGCTTGGAAACTTGGGCTCTGTTCTTCGACAAGGTTATCACCAGTAATACTGACTCTGGAAGATTCACTGATAGTCTGGGCTACGCTCCAGCTTGTAAATCACTGGAATTCACTAAATAATTTTGCTGGTGTCGCATAAAATGGAATAGATGCCAGTGGCCTTTCCTGTTTCTGGAATGAACAGAATCAAGACATAGCACACATGTACTAGCTTTTCTTCCCTGGAATCAGCAGAACTAGCTGTGCTTATACACCCGGGGAATACGCCCACTGAAGAAGAGGGGGCAGCTTTGGAGTAAAACAACTGTCCTCTTAGAGGGTGTTAAGTGTTGTTAACTTGGGTTAAAATGGGTATGAATCAAGGATCTTCAGCACTCTGAATGAGGTGCTCTAGCATCTCACAAGATCAGGCTGTAAGCAGTAGAAAATTATACTTAAAATTAACAATCTTGTCTTGTCATGGCAAACCTCCTAAGGGGGAGGGAGATAGGAGATATGCATGGGAAGCTGGGCATGTAGATTACTCTAGGGAATCTAATCAGATGTCCAGCTGATGAAAAAGCAAATAGATTAGCATGAAAATGGAGGCTGGTTCAGACTGAATTTCTCACTGCTGTAAGGTTCCTTTTCCTACTTTTGGAGAGCCTTACTGTTTTCCCTATCTGTCCCTGAGTGCATGGATCTGTAACCTCCAGAGGTTTACCTGCTTGGCATGAATAACAGCATTTCTACTCAAGCAAATGGAGCTTTGCAGGTTTAAAGCAGCTGGAGCTATGTCTCTTTAAATAGCATCCCTAACACATTTTCTAGGACTTTTTCATATGAGAAAGAATAGCATTACCCAGACATGTCAAAGTGTATTACCTAATCATAAGGTTTGCTAAATGAATGGCAGTCATTAAAGAATGCTGTACCAGAGCAAGGACATGTATTTTTATTGCTCAACCCATGAGGTCAATACAGCTCTTGATAAGGATATCTTATTTTTTACAGAAAGGAAGAAAATACTAGGAAAAAATAAGACATGTGGAAGTGGGCACTGAGCAATAAGACATCCATCGTTAAAATATAATCCAGTTCATTATTTTTTATTACTTTTATTATGTTTACTGCAGGGTGCAGCCCAATTGAACTCATTAATTTGACAATTATACAGAAAAAGAAAAAAGGGCCTTAGGCTTTGACTTGCATCCAAACTGCCTCAAATGTCAGGCACTACTTCTCTATACCAGCTTTTAAAGAGTGAGTGGGAAGAAGAGAAGGCAATAAATTAAGAGAAAAACTTACGCTAACATATATGCGAGAAGAGATTTAATGCTGAAGATTTTTCTGCTTTAACGGCCTTAAAAACATTTGAGATGAGAGTATTGATATTGCTTTGATAAGGATGCATTCATTTTATGAAATACTCTCATGTCTCTCTATTAGTAAATGCTCCAAAGTGTTGAAAGCACAATTTATTCCATTTTTACTCCTGGACTTCTTTTACTAACCTTTACTATTCCCTACTTCTCCCTCTCCTGAAGTCTTTATCCCTCTCCATTCTGCAGCATTAGATACAGAGTGCCCATCTTATACCAGATAAATGCCAGGTCTGGGGAAAGTTGTTAAGTCAATACCATTGTCACCAATTACAAAAGTTTGGGCCCAAAATTTCCATCTATGACTCATGAATATTTCACACAAGTGTCTTGACAAAAGATCAAATTGCCTTGGTTGGCAGGGTAAGTCTATGGGCACTGGGTGCACAAACACAAGCTGTGAAAATAAAAAGGAGTAATTTGGCATCTGTTGCATATATTAGGAAGCGTTTGGAACAGCACTCTCTGGCAGGGACTTCCAAACCTGCCATGCAGTGACGCACATTTGTGCAGTGAAATGGTTGAAATGTACACTGACTTTTAGGAATGAGTCTGGTGAATATGAAACAGCTTCTGCATGTCCCAGTGCTGCTGCCCAGAATTAACACTGTGTTTACTATCGCAGCCAAAAATTCCTGTGAATTTTCTTAGCAGAGGCTTCTGCATGTTATCCTGAGGATGCAAACTCTCCTGTACTAAGAGGAAGACTTTTTAGTGCATAGTTAGTGCCAGTGTAAGCTATTGATTATCCTCTCCACTCCCTAAGAGTGATCTGCTTGACAACCAAATGAAAGAAGAGAGAAGGAACATCTTACAAATCTAGTAAATTCAGCAAGCCATGAGAAAATTGAGAAGTGGGTCCATGTGAACCTCATCAGGTTCAATAAGGCCAAGTGCAAGGTCCTGCACCTGGGTCAGGGCAATCTCTGATATTATTACAGGCTGGGGGATAAAGGGATTGAGAGCAGCCCTGTGTAGAAGGACTTGGGGGTAATGGTGGATGTAAAGCTTAACATGAGCTGGCAATGTGTACTTGCGGTCTGGAAAGCCAACCATATCCTGGGCTGCATCAAATGAAGCATGGCCAACAGGTTGAGGGAGGTGAGTCTCCCTCTCTACTCCACTCTGGTGAGACTCCACTTGGAGTACTGTGTCCAGCTCTGGAGCCCTCAGCACAAGAAAGGTGTGGACCTGTTGAAGCAAGTCCAGAGGAGGGCCACAAAAATGATCAGATGGATGGAGCACCTCTCCTGTGAAGAAAGGCTGAAATAGTTGGGGTTGTTCAGCCTGGAGAAGAGAAGGTTCTGGGGAGACTTTATTGCAGCATTTCTGTACTTAAAATGGGGCCTATAAGAAAGATGGGGACAAACTTTTTAGCAGGGCCTGTTGTGACAGGACAAGGGGTAATGGTTTTAAACTAAAAGAGGGTAGATTTAGACTACATATAAGGAAGAAATGTTTTACAATGAGGGTGGTAAAGCACTGGAGAGGTTGCAGATGTTTCCATCCCTGGAAACATTCAAGGTCGGGTTGGATGGGGCTCCAAGCAAGCTGATCTAGTTGAAGATGTCCCTACTCATTGCAGGGGGGTTGGACTAGACGACCTTTAAAAGTCCCTTCCAACCCAAACAGTTCTATGATTTTGTGATTCTAAAATGAGGTGGTTACTGTGAGACTCTTTCATTGCCTGCTGACCCCATTGCCATTACTGAGGTATAAATTTTATCCAGGGTCCTTAGCAGAAGAACCATTTCACATTTCTATCCCACTCACAGGATAACAGGTTATAATCAGATACCAATCCAGAACAGGAATATACCACCCTGTGATATTCAGGCAAGGAAATGACATTGGTATGTGGTGGGGAAAAAAGTAGTGAACTGCCAAATTACTTACTCTGGGGATGATTCCGGGGTTAAATTAGACATCTCCTCTGGTGTAGGTACTGTCCGTGCATGCACAGCCAAAGAGAAGGAGGGAGAAAAGAAATTGATGATTCAGTACACCTTCTGTTTTCTGCTTGTATACCAATGAAACCATTCCAGCATTACACCCTCTTGCATTTGCCCACTGCCTCTGCAGAGTAGTTCTGACATTAACATTGGTCGTATGTCTCTAGATCACTGTATCTAATCAAGTGCTGCATTTCAAGGCTCATCTCAACCTTCACTAAATCATTATGTAATCTTGCACTGGCTTCAATGGTTTCTGGTTCAGACCCAAATACTCTGCTAATTTGATTGCTTTACAATTGCTTCAAAGTCCAGTTGGATGCAGCTCAGTCACTGCTGCAATTCTCCGCAGTTCTCAGAGACAATGTCCCTGACCATCACAGTTCAAAAACCTAACTCTTCCATGGCTGTAATCCTCTCCCATGGGATCACATCTCAGTACTCTGTAAAACCACAGGGTGTTGGGATAGCTGCTGACGACATCTGAGGATAATGCATGTGACTTTGGGTGCCCTTTACCTGAATGCAAAAAGCCACCTGGAGCTTGAAGAAGAAAATTTTGCGCATCTCAACACTCTAGAGACTCTGAAAACTGAAATAGGCCAGCAGATACAAAACCACTGATTGTATTAAGGAGATTTTTACACCAATTACCAAAGGAGGTAAAAAAAGCATTAATGAAGATCAAACAAGCTGTGCTTCAGAAGGACAATTTCAGCCTATTGCCACTGGCTATCTTTTCTCAGTAGAAGGCTCAGCCTGTGACTACAGAGAGGCAGTGGAGTACAGCCGTAGGCAAAATAGCAGAGCTCTAGGTTCACTAACAAAACAAGTGGACAAGCAGAAGATAAAATCTCCTTGTGTTCTAAGAGCCACAACAGGGATAGTAAGAGTTGTGTGGCTGGAGTGTGAAGAGGGCTCAGAAGATGGTGTTGGAGCAGGTGCAGTGGCATGAGTGAGCCTGCTCACACGTGCCTTGGGTTAGGGCTAGCTGGTGCTATCACTCTCATTTTCAATACCAATATTCAGTCCTCAGTACATGAAATATGCAGAGCCACAGAGAGGTATCAACTTGCTGCTGAATGTCTGCCCAAATCATAACCATCCAGTACATTTGGGTGAGTACTCACCTTGCAATTTCCGGCGATGGAAGCGAGGAGACCCAAGGAAACTATTCTTGATTGAGTTGAGCCGTGTCCTCCATGGCATTCCTCCAATGCTGGGGCTGGATGGTGGTGTTGGGTTGGGTGTGCCTGCTGGGCTCTCCTTTGGCGTATGGACAGGTGTCCCCTTGGGGGTAGGGAGGGGACTTCCCCTTGGAGAGGGGTGAGGGGTGACCTGTATGATGGGGATAGATTTGGTGCTTGGGTCAGTACTAGAAGGGAGCAATCTAACAGGAGACATAGGGTTGGTCTGCACTTTAGGAACAGCCAGCTGTGGGTTAAAGCTGGCAGCAGGCGAGCGGCCCTGAGCATTCTGCACAGGGGTGTTCTGGGAAGAGGGGGCGCTGGTATTGCTGGTAGGGAGTGGGTTGGATTTAGTAGACTGGAGTGGTTTTTCGGCCAATTTGCTCTTGGATGGCAAAGTCTGCGTCTTTGGGTTGGGCTGAAGTGCTGGCTTTGGTTGGAGTACATGTCCAGGCCTGGAGGCGTTCCTACAAGCATCAGGGTCCAAGGAGACTTGGGGTCGGGGAGAGAAAGGGAGGTCGGAGGTCTGAGGGGGGATGAAGAACTTTCTGATAGGCTACGAGACAGACGCAGAGTGTCCATGCACATCAAAAACAGTGAAATACGCATAGAGCGGGCGAGCAGAGAAAGGAAAGTCCGAATAAAATCCATCCAAGTCACAAAGATGCACCATGTCACGAGGAGACACAAGAGATGGAGGTGAAGGGGTAGTGGGGGGGAGGGATTTTGCAAAGAAACAAAAACGAACAAACAAACAAAAAACAAAAAAAAGACATGCAGTTAGCTGGGAACACAGCATAATCAACAACAGCAGCAGCGGCAGCAGCAAGAACAACAGTGTCATAACAGGCTTCATCATATTAACCAACCACGTGTCAGCAAAGGAAAACAACAGAAAGAAAACAAAGGAAAAGTAAAAAAAAACCAAACAAAACCAACAAAATGAAAGAAAGTAACCAAGAAAAAAGAAGAGAGAAATGCCATCTCTCTGGGATTGTTCTGATTGCCCTGCAGTGAGAGAAGCACAATGCTGTAGGGAGGTGAGGAAGGGGAAGAAGAACCACTCAAGCCACAGACAAATTGAGATGTGCCAAGAATAGGACCACCTTTTTCAGCTCCAAGTGCCCATATGCAAACCCAGCAGAGAGATGAAACTCAAAACAGGTGTGTGATACATACGGAGTGGTAGGCGATACACATAGGTTACTGCACACACCAGTCAGAACCTCTTTCCTTCCTCTTTACCCCTGACTCTGGCTAATGCACACCCCAGTTGCAGACACCCATTGCAGAAAGAGGGGGAAAAGGGAGAGTGATGCCACATGGGCATACAGTCTCCTCCCCTGGCCTGGAAGGTTAAACCGCTCAGCATTCACTTGGAGGCTTCAGAGCACACACCACCATGAGAAAAATATGAACTCAGGTTGGTGTTTGATTTGTAAACAGCTACAGCAAAAACGTCAGAGGCCCGGCAAATTTGTTTATCTGGGAAGAGATGATACTTCCCATCAGACTTTATGCTTCTCCTGCGACATCCCTCATTGCATTGCAGGACAGCTTGGTAATTGGAATTTTTGGCATAAAGTCACAGCAGTATTTGGCATTAAGTCCCAATTCTATGGAGGGGGTGGGGTGAGCCATTGTTTTGAAAGACACAGCTTAAAAAGAAAAAGACAATCAAAGTTCATAATCCATCACTGAGTTATCAAAATGGGATTATGAATTTTTTTTCCCAGACAAGAACATTTGCATGTTAGAGGCATTTTGGGAAACCATTCATATGTCGACAGCAAACAGCAATACACAGACATGGGAGGATAGAAGCCTTTTAAAGGAATATTAGCAAGCTAAAAATCACATTTAAAACAAAATTAATGTCCTTACAAAACATTGCTGTTAACACCTTAGATTACAAGTACTGGCAGAATTGTCAAAATAGAAATCACTACTCAAGATCTTTAGCTTTGGTCTGCACTCAGATTCTGATTTCTGTAAATAATTACCTATTATAAATTATTTATCACCATTATTATCCATTCTTAACAACCAAAAGCTGTAACCAAGCACTGTCCAGATATACCATGTACAGGTAAACATGCCTCAAATTTCAGTCCCAGGTAGGCACACTGCCTAGTGAGTTTACCTTCTGGGTTTGATGGATTAGCACAATGTTGCCATATTTAAAAAATGCAGAAATGTATTTCAGACTTAATTCCTAAAATCAAAGTTTTGTAATTACTTTAAAGAACTTAGGGTTAGGCCACCAAAATTAAAAGAAAAATCACTACATCAAAACATTTGTATTTGGATTGTAAAGTTAAACTATAGTTTGCCAAGTTGGTAAATTCTGATCACCAAAAGGGAAAAAGATGAGGAAAGTGGTTAATTTATGGAAGTCAGTATCAGTATCTGACTATTAACCATTTGCAAATGACACCAATGGATAAAGGTCAAAGACTGTTGATTGCAAATGTTTCCTTGCAATTTTTGTATCTTATGTATACGATGGTTTGAGAAACAAATTTGAAAGAAATAAAGTCAAATTCAACTCCCACTTAAGCCATTAAGAATCTGAAGGGGCACCCTTAATTACCACATTTTTAATAATTAAATAAAGAACAAAATTAGGTCTATATTTCAGCTGGTACAATGGGGAACACCATTAGCAAGATCTTGTAAGATTTAAGAACTCTAGTTGCTCTCAAATTCAGTTACTCATAGAACTGAACCTAAGCAGCACATACAGCGAAATGTGTATTTGCTTTTTAAAATATGTTTTCTTTCAACAATCTAAGGTACTAATAGAAGTAAGGACATTTAAAAAAATGATTTTTATTCCAACATTTCCTTCTAAGCCTCAAATTTGACCTGCCTTAATTTTGTTATGATCTGCTAAAAATGCCATCTGGTTGCTAAATCCCTTTGAAGACTATTTAATCAACTGCCTATTAAGTAATAATGGTAAGATACAGCAACTACGGAACAGATCTTGTCATCCTTATTCCTTGATGTAGTCCCACTGAGATGTCAGAAACTGATCCCAAGAGATTAATTAATAAGATCAAGCTTTAGGTTTGCTGCACTGGATGCTTATTTGTGCACAAAATCGTTTCCATGCTCTTTTTCAGTATATTTTGCAGTGGCATAAGAGTTCTCAGACCTCTGCTTCGTTCCACTGACATGCAGGAGTCCCAGTGCAGAAACAAGGAAATGGATCTTCACTGGTTCCTGGCACATTAAAAATGCAGAGAAGACCACAAACCCATTTATGCCAGTTGCAAAACAGGGTGACAATTGATAGGAACCCAGAATATGTTTCAGAAAAGAGTTCAATCAAGCAAGGTGCTGGATGGTTTGTTAGCCTATAAACTTGCACCCGACAGTGTGTCTTTATGCATAAGAATTATACACAATATTACTGGGCAATTATAAATTTAAATACTTGGAATATTGATGTTATCTTCATATACCTAAGTGTAGATCCATAGGTGTATCCGTACTCTAACACATGGAATATATCAATTTCCAGTGGGGGATGGCATCTTCTCATGAAGTCATGAAAAGTAGGTAGAAATTGTCCAAAGACTCTGGGCCAGACCATTAGGTAACACAGATTGCCACAGCCCTACAGACTTCTTGATAAGGTCTAGAATTTTGTAAGGACTGCAGTCTTGAAATGACTAAGCTGACCTTGTCAGACACTAGAAATACTCTTATCCCTAAAGAGGTTACCAAGGAGAGGGAGGCCTCTGTCATTGCACTTACAAACTGTAATGCCTTTGCAACAGATGTAGTATCAAGCACGTTTTGTACTAGTTGAGTATCAGTACTAGCTGAGTATCGGTATTTAGTTGACTGTATATTGAATGAGGGCATGTGAAAGTACCTTATTTATAGGGGTCTGAGTGTTCTCTCATCTTAATTAGTCAACTTCCTACTTTCCTTTTAAATTTGCTGTCCCTCAAATTTGTATAATTTATTTTCTCTGACTTTCTAATACAATCTATTTCGAGGCAAAGAGATTGAACGTAGCTGTGAAATGGTTCCTGGTATTTGGTCTAAAACCACGCCGTATACAGACCTCAGCTGGATATTGCAGTGTTTAGTCATAGCAACGTTATTCTATGTGCTTATGAGACTGAAAAAGGGCTGGGGCACACTGAGATCCCTGCTAACAGTGCAGGGAACATGTATGAGAAATTCTTTGCTTGCATTTGTAAATAACATTTCCCTCACCACTCATGAATATTTACAAGCTGCCAAAGAAAGACAAATCATCCCAGCTAAGAGCCACAGCTCTGCAGCAACAGATGTTGAAAAGCATCAAGCATGTGTGAGTGAATTGGACCAACAGATCTCGAAGCATCACCACTTACCCTTGGACTGCTGAGAGGACTGGTGGAGAGCCCAGACGACGCTCCGCTGATTGACCGAGACCTGAATGGACACAATAAGGAAAACAGCCCTCAGAAAACTTGGACAAGTAATAACCCTGCACACCAGCCACCACAGGCACAGGCATGAAGTGAGGAGGAGGAGGGAGGCTGTCACTGGAAAAGCACATGACTCTTTCCTTTCACTACTGCCACAGTTTTCAGTTGTCCCACCCTCAAAACAAAGAAATGCTGTTGCTCAGGGACAATACTATAATCCCTTTTCATTAAGGGAGTTGCTACCTTCTTTTTGGTCATCAAGCACATGGAAGCTACTATGTCTAACCTATGCAAGCTGAACTCCTGCATTCAAAAAGGACTGTCAAGACATTCATGTTGGTGCTGTGAATTCTTTTCTGCATAGTGCTGGTGGACACAGAATGAGATGTTCTCTGTCACAAGCAACATGGAAAAGCACTGTGTGTACAAGGCACAAAGGTAGGGGATTCTGCCACATAGTAAGAAAAAACCCCAAGTCTCCATGACCCAGGCACACAATCATTTCCTATGTGATGAGTTCCCACTGAAGTCAAAGCTCACATTGGCTTAACCCCTTCCAGCTTCTCACTGATGGATTTTACATCTCTGCTCTCCAGTAAGATTTCTGCTGTTGCATTAAACAAGCCAGGTCTTCTCAATGGATAACGAGTTCTGCTGTTGTTGATGACTTTACTAATATCAAGATAATGGCCCAGGTGCCCTCAAAAAGAGGTTAGCCAAGGGAGAATAAACTGTCCTTCTATTTGCTGACAAGTTCACCTATACTGTAATGCTCTTACGCTCTCCAGCAAAGGCCATCTATGAAAAACATGAGCTGTAGACAATAAAATGTACAAATGTGCTATCCTAAATAGGCTGAAAGGGCAGACAGGCCAAATGCACAAACATTTCAGCAGCAGAACTTTCCAGGAGGAGGGCTGCCCAGCAGGATAAAAAAACCCTCTGTGTGACTGTAAATGAGTAAGCCCCAGAGGCAGCTGCTTTCTATTCTTTTTAAATAGAAAGTTGTCTTGAAGACTGAAACATCTTATAAGAAAGGACTTGGCTAAGAACCTAGTTGTTCAACAACCACCACGCAACATGGCAATATAGCAAACCTACCAATGTTTCACCTATAGCAAGAGCCATGAAAGCAATTACTTGCCTTCAGGTAACAAACATGAAAAGGTGAAATCCTGTAGATGCCTGGAAAACAGAGTGCTTGTGTGTATGCGTATACACATATCTATGTGTGTGTGTACACATTTATATATTTAAAACTGATAGAGGTCAGATAGTTAATGTCAGCTCATACATAAAGAGAATATAAAACAAATTTAGACCATAAACTGTCTCAGTTTACTCTCTTCTACTGTTATAAAAAATAAAACAAAATAATCAGTTTCTAAAATGGTCTTGTAGACATGTATTACTAAATAAATTTGTGTAGTAGAATTATTAAAAAATATGTGAACTGCAAAAGAGGAAATACTTCCAAGGAAAGAGCGAGCTACAACTGAACACAATGGCAGGTCCTGTTCTATTTGTATCCTCTGCAGAAACTACTCAGTGATGGTTTTCTTTGTATCTCATTGCAGTTTTTCCATCACTGTAAGTAGGTGAAACCCAGAAGCCCAGTCTCAGCATGCTTTTTTGCCAGATTAAATCTAAATTTGCACCATGAAAATCTGGGGTGCTCATTCTATGCAGAAATTCCCCACTTATGTTTTCCCTTGTACGCTGCTGCAGTCTGCCTATCATAGTGCAGCAGTCAAAAACTAGCAGCTCAGTCTTGGCATTTTTTTGTGCTAGATTAAACCTAAATTTGTACCATCAAGATCTGGGGCACTCATAAAGGTTTATGCAAAGTAATTTTTAGGGGAGAACTGTCTGCTCCACTTTTGAAAGGCTATTTTATGTGCCTCTCCTATAACTGAAGTAGCTGAATGCATCACAGATGTGTCATGCATATGGAAAGTCCATTTAGTTAAAATCTTCCTTGCATGAGCCATCAAGAAAAGCTTCTTCCAAACCATAAATTACAAAAGGAGCCTATACGTTATCTTGGAAAAATGTGGAAGGCATTTAGGTGCCCAGAGATGCAGTTAAACACCTACTTAGGAGTTAAACTCCCACTAGGAGCTGTTCCCACCAATTGTGGTGGGAAAGTCCTCTCTGACACTCACCTGAATTCCAGGATACTTGATTAAAAGTTCCAATCTGCTATTTCCTCTTTGCAATGGAGTGTTTCCAACAGTCCTGAATTCTCCCCTCCCAACCCCGTTGCCTCCTATTTTTTTACAAAAATGATCACACGCATGGAGGGCAAACCACAGTGGGCCCCACCTCCCAAATCCCAGTTCCTTATTAGAAGCAATATTTGAAAAAGAGTTGTTGTGTACTGTGTTTTCATCCAGCCTAGGAGCCTGAGGTAGGGGACAGAAGAAAGAGTTAGTGTGAAATCCTCCTGGAAATGCATTCAGTATCCACATGATTGCTATCGAACAAGCTTTATTTCTGGTGCTGATTTACATGCAAAATATGCAAGAAGTAAAGTAGGCCCTATAGCAAGTTTTAGTTTGTCCACACTGGAAATCGTATATAGGAGCAGCAGAAAGAGTTTAAAGAATCCTGGGTTAATTTTAAGTGTTGGGGTGAAAAGAGAGCTGTACATTTTCAAAACTTTTCCCCTTTAATAAAGATTGCTGGTATAGGATATGACATCCAGACTGAGGAGATGTTCCTTGCATCTTCTTCAGTTTAATAAATCTCCCGTAATTTATCTTTACAAATGGGATATAGTTCCCAAGCTAGCTATAAAAACTCAGTACAGTGGCAGGTTCTATGCTCCAGTACAAAAATGCCAAAAGCAAAACTGACAGATTTGTCCTTCCCATCAAGATTATCTTAGCTGGGAAATGCTAGAATTCAGTTTAAAAAAAACCAAAACAACCCACATGCACTGCTCCTGTATCTCAGAGTCAGGTGGACAGAACTGGGACAGGACCAAAAGAAAGTAATGAAAATGTTGCATTATGCTGAAATGCTGTAATGAAAGAACAGAAAGAATTTAAATTTTTATCCCTCTCACCAGAAAATCAAAGTATGAGGCCCTACAGGCAGCACATTAGTATGGCAGACCCTGGATGATCTTATGTGTAGAAAGAGGAGAAAAATATGATATCTTCTTATCTCTATGGCTATGAACTAAGTTTATTTAGTGAAAAATATCTATTAGTGAGTAACCTCCTAAGGTTACAGGCATTAAAAGTCTTTGGAAGTATTAAATCTATAATTATTCCAATAACTTAATACTAAATGCAACAATCTAGGAAATGATGAACATTGTGTGTGACTCATTGTTAATGCAGTTGCTCAGATAAAGAGCATTCCCTGAAACACAATTGCCAGATTTAGAGACACAAGAAGAGATTCTTTAGTTCTTCTCAAAGTGACACTGTTGTTTTGCCAAGCCTGGAGGGAAGAATTGAAAAAAAAAAACCAACCCCACAACACATAAGGGAGCTAGACCTAAGGTTTAGGGGGGGAGAAGATGTAGAGGACACTCTAAACATAAGGTGGGCACTGAGACCACTGCAGGCTATTCCTCCCATCTCATAGATTGACAATAATCTGGAATCTCCTAAGATATGAAAGAGAGAGGCCAAGGGCTGAAACAAAATGTGCATGTATGGGCTGTAGTTTGTAGGTGTGATGATTTTATACATTATTCAATCTATTTGATACTTCAAAGTATCAAAGTAAAAAGGTCCTTTGTTTTAAAGTAATTTTTCACTCATTTTAGACAGCTGCTGTCAAAGGGGAAGCCACGTGAGGCCCAATTCATATTAGACCAGTGGTCTCTTACAGGTGAAATTGAGGAGCTGGATTCCAGTTTCCAGCTGCTTTCGGAAAACTGCAGAATTTCTTGAGAGCTGTAAGAGGTGAAGGGCCGAAGCCTCACACTGCTGAGGTGAAGGCAGAGAGAAGTACAACAAGGAAAAGCACAGCTGACCTGGTAACCGTACTACACATACAGCACATGTACAGAGCACCTCCACATAGCCCTTCATTCTGATTGATTTTCAAGTGGTTTAAACAGTGCACCTGCTAGTACCCACCAGTAGACTATAAAGGCTTCACAGCCAACATTAAACATTTGGGTCAGATTTGATATTTGCTGCTGCTTTGAATTTTCCTTACAATCAAAGGGTAGTTGGGTACCTTGTTGAAGTCCCAGCAGAACTTGCTCTCATAGCACAGTTTTACCAGGATGCTGAATACAGCCTCTTAGCTGGTCAAGCTGGAGCCATGCTTCCAAGAAGGGGAGCCTGCAGCATGCATGCAGCGTGCACTAATGCATCAGACTTGTGTCCCTGGGTGAAATGCCTTAGAAATTTTGAACTGGTTTGATTCCATGTGTAGTTTTGAAAGTCATTCCCCAAATATCCAGCCAACCTGTTATGTGCTTCAAGCATAAATTGGGTGGAATTTGATACTCCTCTTTGCTTGGTCACTCAAATAAAACAAAAATTTTCTAAACTGTATTTCAGGGTATAAGACCCCTGAAAATGACCTGAATTAGTATGCAATAGGTGAGCAGTCAGGCATTGTGTGTTACAACATTTCATCATTATTACTCTTGGGTGTCCAAAAGATACAAACTGTGCTTCCTTGCTCCCTGATCTGGGGAGTATGAATAGAATACCTTTGACAATCCACTGTCTTACAGTCCCAACCATGCAAATAATACTAACAACTATAACACTTCTTACTTGGAATACTTATGCTTGAGTCAGAAGGTCTACTCATGGTAATAACCGTTTGTAAGATGAAGCCTTACAAAGAGTACAGAGAGAGGACTGCAGGTGTTGATAACACACCTCTTCTTCCTTTCAGCGCACACAGAGGGTGATGTTAAGCAGCACCACCTTCCTTAATTAGCCAATTATACTAACGTTCCATTTATAAGTGGTTAAGAAAGAATTAATAAATAGTAAAGCACGCTACAAACATAAGAAGTAA